GAATGCAACGTCTACATTTTAAACTGGGTCTATTTTGCCTCAATTTGGGTACTGGTAAGTGCACATATCATACTCCAATGCATGTGAACTTTTTTTTTCCTGCATACAGGTCAATATAAATGCAAACAAAAGAAAGTCAGAAGAGAAAGCAGAGGAAAAGAATAAAAGCAAGTCAGAAGCAATTCAACCTGATCTGAAAAGAAACCATTTTATCCTAAAAGCCTCCTGTATTTGACTTTTCTCCATGTGGGATACCTGTGTACATATACACTTAGGTAGAGTTAACATCTATACTATTTACATCCTGCTTGCTGCATTTCGGAGGGTTTTAAGCAAATGTTTCTTACATAGGGAACAATAATGCATGTATAAGGCATCAAAGAAGGAAAAAAAGAAGATTTTAAAAGCCAAAAGTTGAAAAGGCTCATTATTCAGTTTGAAGGACTATTTTCTTTTAAACTAAACTGCTCCAATCCATTCCCCAACCCTCCCAAGCTAACCTGAACAAATGCCCTCCACCCCAGCTTCTTTCTTACCTCCATAGCAGAACCACCTCCTGTGCTATCCTTTCTTCAACTGACAGAAATCCGTGCCAGCAAGACTTCATAGGTTTGTATGGGGCTGTCTCCGGAAACAGCTCCACTGTCTGGGCTGGCCCCATACAAGTCAATGAAGATAAGTGCATAGCTATGGCCAGTGCCAAGGACTATTTTTGTCTGAGAAGATGACACTATGGCACAGGACTTGGCACTGATATGAAGGTAGATAAGAACCTGGGGCTGGGGGTATTGGTGTTAGTTCAGGAGGGGAAAGCTTGGAAAAGTTTAGTGTAAAAATACATTTGTATTCCAAGGACCTAGCCACACTTTTGGGATTACAAAATGTAATCATACAAAGCCATTGAGCAAGTAGAATTATTTTAGGGCTCATTCATGAATTGTGTTTGTGGTCAGAGTTACTTAGGCTTCCGAACCTTCATGAACCCTACTGATACCAACCTGATGTGTGCCATGATTTTGTGGTCAGCGTGCCAAATAAGTGGGCACGCTCTAGTGAAATGATAGAACCTGGGGAAGGGCGGGAGGGTCAAGCGCGACCTCGCTGTGACGTGCCCTGAAGCTCCCTGTCACCCTTCTTAAGGGGAGGAGAGCCGCCGCAACTCCTCCCACAAACACGGCCAGGATACCTTGGAATATTACATGTCTATCTAAATTCTGCATTTAAAGTGATATAAGAGCCAAAAGGTTTTTAAGCTATTTCAAACTATGTTTTAGCTTCCTGCGGAATCGGCTGGTCCCCTGACCACTGGCCCCTATATCCGGTTTTAGGGTGGCTCCTTGCAGGTTCCAATGGAAGCACCCTTGTGTGTCTCTCAACAAACGCACAGGCAGGGCAAGTCATTCCCCTGCTCCTCACTTCTCTAAGCTTGTAGATGGACGGCTGCTGGAAACTGCTCTGTCAGGAAGTTCAGGGAAGTGGAGCTGAGAGATGGAGTCAACTGCTTGGAAACATGACGACTAAGTGCTTGGGTAAAAGGTTTAAGAAATAGTTTCCATGCAATTAATACTTTCTGGATTCATTAATAAAAAGGTTTGAGAGTTTAATACTACCTTACATGATATCCTGTTCTGTCCATTTTCTTTTTACCTGCCTTTTAGGCTCGGTTTATTCCCCACGTTTGCTGCAGTTCCCCAATAATTTCAATGGGTTTCTATACGCGTGACAAAACGTGAAAAAGTAGTGCATGTAGAAAAATCTGCAACATGCATTCCATGGTTTTTCTTCTGAATTTAAGTGCATTAACTTGCGGAAACGCGGAGGAGTAATGTGCGTACTTCCAGTCACGTTTATGGTGCCATTAACTAGTAATGGCAATGCAAGAGCGTTTCACTATGCACTATTCAAGAATTCCAATATATTCCTATGGAATCTCCGGAATACAGTAAACAGTTGTGAGAAAATTGTCCGGCAGTTACAACGCTTTGATTTAGAATGATTAAGATGTGTGTAGCAGACAACATAACTGTACTTGTCGAGCTATGTTATGCAATGTTGCCAGGGTTTCCTGGACAAATGAGTCAGATCATATCCAAATGCAAGCATTCTCTGTCCTCTGGCTATACAAAAGTACACACATATGCTTCCGTCTGATATCACTGGCATTCAGAATAAAGACGTATGAAGATATATTAGATGGTTGCCTACTAGTACAGTATGTGACGGATTGGGTAGTACCAAGGGAGTATGGGGATGAGAGAGGCTGGACGATGTGCAAGGTATTGCTATCCATCGCCCAGCCTTGGAAACTGACCAGCATGGTGGTCAGTTATTCCAAGACCCCAAAGTTCCCCAATCCAGATACAAGTAAGTGAACAAAAACAAGCACAGACAAATGTCCACGCTGCCACTACTCACGCCTTACTTGCTTACAAACAACCTTAATGCTGACACCTCTACTCAGTACTCTGCCCACCAGAAGTCTGGCACACAGGCTTCTGCAAACCACACACACTGTTCTTGCTAGCAGTTACAGGTTAGCTAGGCCAGGCAATAGTACTTCTAGAGTCAGTACAAATACCCACAGTCTCTTATCAACAGCTACCACGAGAGGAAGACTCATCTTGCATACAATCAGGACTCCAATACCACAAGCTGCCCTGTGACCTGCAATCCTAATGTAGTCACTTCCTACTGTCCACTGCCCTGTAGCTGACAATGAGATCTCTAGATCAGTCACATGATGCAATCTCACACAGATCTGCAACGACTTACAACCAAGCTTATAGACACTGATAATATAATACACAACCACATACAAGTCTCTTTAGATTTGTGCATTGTTTAGAGCAATAAAAAAACGCTTACTAATTAATTTTTATATTTAAAAGGGAACTGTAGCCCAACCATTTTTTGGCCATAGTTCTCTTTAGGGTCACAGGAGGACATTTACTATGTCCCCCTAAAGCTATAACCCGCTATATGCTGACAGCACAGAGCAGCACTGAGGCTGGGAAAGAACCTGACAATATTGATGGAATCCACCCCGATACCCGCTTGACAACTTTCAAGAGGCAGAGCCAGCTGTGCCCGCTACCTACCCCATCCATCGCCCTAGTCAGTGCTGGAGGAACAGCGCAGGGAGGGGGGAATCCCTGCGGGGAGTGATGACTGACAATCACCACTCTCTGCAGGGAGAAGATTGTGAACTGAGTGATCGGCAGTTCCCGATCAATAGAGCTAAGGTGCGACAGCTGCAGTGTCACACGTCGGCTCTATTTATGAGGATGAGTGTATTTCACTCTACCCATATTTCTCCTATAATATCTCTAGTAGGGCAGTGCATAGAAAAGAGTTACCAAAAAAATACCAAAAAAAGTGAGACATACACAAGCAAAGTGTAGTAAAAATAAAAGGAATAAAACATACAGAAAAAAATACTCCTGTTTCTGGGTTTGGATAGATGCAGACCACCTTATGGCAGGGCTGGACAAATCCCAGGAGCCAGGTAGCCATTGTTCATTGAAAATTACAGCTTGCACCTAACATTTGAATTTTTGTCTAGTTGTCCCTTGCTCCTGGATAGGACAGGCTGGCTCCTGCATTCCATATTAATTTGCCCACCCCTGTCTTATGGAATAAGTCACTGCTCCCATGATTGATTTACTTCTAAAATTTTAGTAACAGCTATTGAGGTCTGTAAACAACAGACGTCTTAATCTCCCCCCAAAAAAAGTTTTAAAAACAGGAAAAAGCCTAATGCTCCACTTTCTGGCTCAAAATGAGAACAAAATATATATATTTACCTGTCTAAATATTTTTTTTAACAATTGTTTACAGCTGCATACCACAAATCAGTTGGGGCAGTTATGTACATTGCAGTATGGGGACATCCCGAATTGTGGAGGGAGCTTGATTCTTTCTGGTCAGAAAACACGGTGTCCCGTACAATTACTCAGATTGGCTGGCCCAGAGAAAACAAGTCTTCAGATAGGTTTGATTAGTAAGGCATCAGGCTGGATAACTTTTTTTTTTAAAACTCCCTGAGGAGGGTCAGTATGTGTAGCTTGAGCAGACTCCATAATGATATTGAAGCCAATACAGTTCTTGGTAAGATGGAAACATTCCATTACCTGTTCCCAGACCGGACTTATTCCTCTGGGGCCAAGAACTACTTCACATTCTGCCTACAGTGCTAGCTGATGGTGATTTCTGTGTTGATGCTCCTTTGCTTACATGTATGCCTCATACTTATTCAGAACAATATCAAAGGAGCACTACTTCACCGGACTCAAAATCCATCGTCCACGCAAAATCATATTCATTGCTCTGGAAGATGGTATAACCACACCATTATTGTCCTTTATCAAGCTTTACTCATACACCTATAGAAGCGTATTACTACTACTACTACTGTTTGTATAATAGCAAAATATTTCACTAAGCTTTATAATTAAGATAAATCATAAAAACAACCATACATAATGAACAGACAATAAAACAGAGATAGGCGGGTCAGCCCGCAAGAGCATACAATCTAGGTTACCTATGAAGGCGATACAGTGGCAATAACGTACCTGTATTGGTTATAATGAGCATCAACACAAGTTGGGAAAACTTTGGACAAACTGGAGATCCATTTTAATGTTATGTTACCAACAGAAAATTCCCCATTGAATCAACTTGTATCCAGTACAATAAAACCAGTTCTACCCAATACTTGCCAGAGGTAGAGCTGTCTATTTTGACACTGACGGCATACGCAAATTGTTAGAATAGTTGAAAATTAACATCACCAGGAAGAAAATGACCGTAAGTAAGGATATCATACTGGTACATCAAAGTGTTAACATCTATAGCAGTGACCAAGTGTGATGCCACAACTGGCAAGATATACAAACCCAATGAACCAGCGCCGTCATCCACCTATAACCAACTGATTGCTATAACCTTAGAGATACACATATTTATTCTCATTGGTCAGTCTTAGAAGTCACACTCACCGTAGTCTCATCTTCATGAAGAACTTGATCGTACCCACTCAGAGCGACACAGAAAATGATGGCTGTGACATCTTCAAAACAGTGAATCCACTTCTTCCGCTCTGATCGTTGTCCCCCGACATCAAACAGCCTGTGTGAAGAATAACTTCTTGATGACATCAGACAACATGTCTGGACACACACACACAACATAACTTGATGATCATTTTCTTATAGGTGGTCATTTTTAGTTATGAAAAAATTAAATGTTAATTCAACCCGAAAACAAAATTTACCAACTGATGACTGATGCATCTAATAGTTACCCAACAAGGACATCAAATGTAATTACAAAGTAATAGCCTTGCTCCAGTGATGAAAGGGCAGAAATACTTACACGTACACATCATATTAAAAAAATTATTAAATTATTAAATAAATAATGCTCCAGACTCCCACCATTGCTGCTCACTTAAACTAGCCATACACGGTTTTATTTTTTTTGTTCAAGCTGCGGGCGGAATAAAGAAAATAGAACAGGTTCCTCCGTCAACGCTTACATGTGTTGATCGCGGAATTCGCTACTATTCCCTTTACGTCCTGACAGCGTGCACTAGCCGCTGTCAGAATACAGTGTTGCGGCCGATTGGCTGTAAGAACCGTTCGTTCGAAGACTTTTCAACCAGCATCTTTAATCTGCTGATCGAGAGTGGTCGGGCCGGAAGGGTGTAAATTTCAGCCGGCTCCTGAAGAAGTCATCTGATCACTGTGGATAGGCTGGAGTGGAATCTGAGTTCAGTTTGGCTAATATTCCTTTTAAGCAGTTCAGAAAATCAAAGGCTTGGGTTTTGGCTACGTGGCCAGCACTGTATGGAGCCTGAAACAGCATTTTCTCCAGCACTTCTTTTACTTTGTATGAATCCACCTCAGCAAGACCATTGTTTTAAAAGGAACGTCAGGGTGGAAATATGGCAGCTGACATTTCATAGGTAATGGTCACCTGAAGTGAACTGCCAGACAAAATGTCTTCCACCTATTATACATGCAGCATATAAGAGTCAGGCAAGTAACATGCAGCAACTGTCAGAGTTCAGGTGACATTTAACAACCTGACATTAAGGGTCGGTGCACACCTAGACCACGCCACAATCGTGCACGATACCACACGGTCACGGAGTCGCACAGCATAGACAATCGCACTGCGGGTGCCATTATTTTCTAATAGCACCCCAGTCATGCCGCATCGCACGGTTTCCCGCAGCGATTCCGCCCATGCATCCTAAAACAGCTGCGTGTCATGTATCGCAAAAAAAACAAAACAGGTACACGTACCTCGTTTCTGCGAATGCCGCGTGGATGTCACCTATTGAAATCAATGGAGCCGCACCGCAATTGCTGTCTGTCATTGTGCAGGACCTTGCGATCCCGGATCGCTCAGGCCTGCACCGGGCCTCAAGCTAAAGTGTCATCTCAGACAGTATGCCAATGCTGCCAGTGCCAGGATCACTATAAAAGGACACACTTGCTCCTATGGCATTGCTTCCTCACTGCCCTAACCAGCAAGGTGTCACTCCATCACTATTCCCTCACTGGCAAATTATATTCTTAAGGATTTCCATCAGCAAATGGACTGAAACTATAAGAGCAGGTGTCTCCTTTAAACTGCTGTCAGTGACAGAATCACTAGTATGACTGGCTCTTCGAGGAGAACTATTGGAAGAGTGAAATGTACTATTGGAAGAGTGAAATGTACTTTTCCCAATAGTTTGAGCCAGTGGCTGTCAAAAGCCGGCTCTATAGCTCAAGAACGAAGTGATCACAAACCACTGATCACTCAGCTCATGGTCTTCAACCTGCAGAGAGCAGTGACCGCTAGTCATCGCTCCCCACAAGGATTCCCCCCCCTCCCCTCTCTATTCCTCCAGTGGTCATTGGAAGGACAGACAGGGGAGGGGGACAGGCACAGCTGGCTCTGGCTCTAGAAAAGCAGAGCCAGCTGTCAATAATGCAGTGGGGTGGATCTCGACAATATTGTCAGGATCTTTTCCAGCTGCAGTGCGGCTCTGATATACTTGTGTGACCTAAAAGAGAACTAAAGCCAAAAAAAAGGTTTGGCTTTTGTTCTCTTTTAAACTAAATAATGTAGAAAGCTGACCTGCACAATAATAATAATAATTCGTATTTAATATTCACATTTCTGAATACAATGTGTAAACAAGCATTATAGGTCCACTTTAAGCCTCAGAGAAATTCCAGCTAAGACTGCCTCGCTAGAATCCTGAGCTCAGCTCCTGCCCTTTCCCTCTTAAATCACATTCTTCTTACTACATTAATATCAAATGAATTTGAAAGTATCAAGCAGTAAGGGCTCCTTGTAAGCACTGCGTTCACTTTTTTTTTCCAACTCAATTCTGAATACCTGTGCAGAACACAGCAATGTTTTTGCACAAATGAAAATTATATTCGAAAATACATTCCTGCATTTGCTGAAAAGTTATTCACAGCTGGGCAGTGTCGCTAGCACACAAATGATAGAAATGGTTACAAATGTGATTTCTCAGACAGACTTGGACCACTAGAGGGAGCCACCGACTGTACGCACTGAAGGACGAGAAATAATCACAATGAATACTTTGTTCTCTGTCTAACTTTGATGCAATAATCCATTCTGTAAAGGATTTTTTTTGTACAAAGTGCTCCAGTGAAGATTATTTAGGGCACATTTTTATAGAACATTAAGATAAGTTAATGTGCCCATCAAAGGAGATTACTCTTAGCAAATGAAGTTTACAACAATGTCAGATAGGATAAATCCCCTAGAAAAATATAACCCCGTGTCCGCAATACTAAATTCATTAGTTAGCTTGCACATGTCTTAAATGTATGTTGACCTTAAATTGAGAACTTGCCTTCTTAATTTAACTGCAGTTTAAACAAAATGACATTCACTTCATTGGTGTCATTAGGAATGAAATAAAAGGCATAAAGGATTTTACATTAAGGAGAGGGGGTCAGGGGCCATTTCAATGGCACCCCAAACGCTCTTCTAATCCACAGTGTGATCTCCTGCACAGGAACACACCATACAACGATGCCGTGCGTTCCAATTGCAAAAAATTGTGCATGCAGTTTTATTCTGAAGTAAACTTTGTTTGTAACACTGCATTTGTGTATTTTATTTTAAATTAAGGATGGTATTTAATTTTTTAATCCAAATAAATTGAAAAAAGAAATCGGCCAAATAATCGATTCTGAAAATATTCATTAGTTGCAGCCCTAGTTGACTTGAGTTTGAAGAGTGCGTTGACATCTGTTGTTACGTTGTTGTTGTTTTTTTTTTGGGGGGGGGGGGGGGGGGGGTTTGGTTTGATTTTTTTACACTTAGCTATATAAGGTATTGGTCCTGCCTTTCATTGGCACACGTTAGCAGTTCACTCCAGTCCGTTGCATTGAACCTGCTCTACTTTTTTTTAAGTGGAAGGCAGCCATTCACACATAGCGGTTGGAAAATCAGCGCAGTTTTCCGCGCAGCATGAAAACGTGCACATTTTAACATAAGGGCGGATTCCGCAGGCTTGCGGCTACTACTATAGCCAGAACACGTGCAGACCGGCCTGAATATCGCACTTGGACTTTTTTTGCACAATGCCGTTTTTGTGCCGTGCGGACAAGGTACATTAGAATGCATTAGGTTTTACGTTTTGTGCATTTCCGAGCTTATACCGTTAATATGTGAATGGAGCCTAACGCAATGGAACGGTGTAAATTGCGTTGGCATCCACTGAAAAAAACGGATGCTAATGGATCTGGTGTGAATGGGACGTATACTTGTTCCAGGTCAGGGTTTCAAAGCAGTGACGTCAGAGGCTCAGCATGACATTCAGGCAACTGGTATTTGCAGAACGAGTCTGTAAATCTACATTCAATGTTCTTCTCAGTGAAGAATCCCAATCAGAATCCACCTCATCCTTATCTGACTTCAGAAGAGTGAATTAAGATGGATTGCAATGGGTTGGCATAGTAGACAACAACCTGTCTGGCCAACAAAGCTTTTCTGTTGAAATTCCAATGAAGACCAGCACATCCGACAGCTCATAAAAATCAGACTTATTGAACGTTCATACCACCCAAGTACACAGTAGAATTATCCTATACCGATGCTATGGCCTCAATGCATTCCACCACATAGGCTTAATCATAGAGACAGTCTATGATTAAGCCTATCTGGTGAAACGTGTGGGTTTCTATAAGTTCGGTGTGGGATGATTTTACTGTGAACTTGGATGGTATGAAGTTTCATTAAATCTGTTTTTTTTTAAATGAACTGTTGGATGTGCGGCTCTTCGTTGGAATGTTAGTATTTTGTTATGCCAGCACTTATGTTTGGAGCCTGCACCTGATTGATGTGACCGGCTGGGTCGGTGTTGTCCAACTTTGGGGATTAGGCGGTGTATGCTTTGAAATTCAAAGCTTTTCTGTTATCACAGCAAAATGAGTTGTGTCTACTAAGAGATACCACATTGAGGGTGAATGCTAGCAGCTGCATAAAAGCCACTACCACCACCAACTGACCACTTTACTATTCGGCACACTGTAGTCGTCGTGGTTATAATGGCTGTATGCCAACCACTAGCTTAAGGCCTAAACTTGAGAACCTGAATCTGCAGTACAATAAAAGGACTTGTCAAAAGAAGGCCAAATTCATAAGCAAGCCAGCCAATGACAGGACTATTTAGTCTGCTTTTTATCTTGATACCACACAATCTGTCCAAGACCATCATGAACGCGAGTAACCTTGAACTCTAGGGGTCTATTCACACCTGTGTGTGCATTTTCACATATGGTGCCCACGTGCTTTCAATGGATTTGCAAACGTACTAAAAATTCACCGGCCTTATTTTTTCCAGTGTGCTGCAAGTAAATGGAAACTAATCGAATGTGCATGTTTTGTAGTGCACTAAGGGTCAGCTGAATTTGTTTTGTCGCGCTTCCATTGAAAATGAATGGCAATGTGCCACAACGCAAGTTGTGAACTCGTGCTAAAACATGTTTCATTCATTCTAAACTCGAGGATCAATCAGCTAGTGGTGATGGTATCTAACAAAAGGGAGATGCCATTTGTGAACAGCTGGGGTAGAAACTGTTGAAATGTACAAGCAATTACAGAGTTAATCTGGTACCTACAAATTAAGATGTGTTTCTGACCATTACAAGGGGAAGCACATAGAAGCCGCTGCATGCAAATGTCTGAATTAATTTATGATCCAGTTTGTGTGAATTCCCCAATTATTTTATGGTTATAGAAGATGTGTGAAAAGCCCAGGTACCACACCAACCTGAAATGGAGGTTCTTGAAGGTGAAATGAGTTTCTACAATGCCAGTGGTCTTCACTCTAGTCCGCAGGATATCCTGTTCTGTAGGTTGGTAATCTGGTGCTCCGATCCGATCTAAGCTGTCTAGGTAGCTGTAAGGAAAACAAATATATTTCCATTAATATGACAGAGGTCAAACACAGCAATGTGCAATTACAAAAAGCAACCAGTCAGATTTTATTATTAAAAGCGTAGCCTGCTTGGCCAAACAAAGATGTCTGATTAGTTGCCCTGGGTTTGCACAATACCATTTAATTAAGAAAGCAAAAGGGCAGTGTGCAAGCATCGCATTTCACTAATATAATAGTGCTAAAGGAGTGTCTAGTATAAAGTGACCTCATTTAGCATTCAATTATTTAACCAACATCAGCACATCCCTAGAGGAATAGGTTTCAAATTCACCATAAAATCAGAGTATGAGACTAATTGATTTAATGATTAAAATTGTAGTAAATTAGAAAATAATCTTCTTTTCCAATCTGAAAGCAGCTCTATGCATTAGAAACTATTCTGTCCACATAAAACAACAGTAAAATCTACAGGTGTAATGCTGCTATTCCTGTCTAAGTCTCAGCCATAGCTGGATATTAAAGCCGAACTCCAGGTAGATATAAAATACACAGTTCTGTTATCTTTATAAACCATTACAAATGTATTATTTTAAATGCAAGCAGAGTAAGTACCTGAATTTGACTTAGTATCAGACTCTTGCAGTCCCTTTACAGCAGAGCTCAAATCGGGAAAGGGAAAAGTAGCACAAGTGCCTGTTGCCTGAGCTGCAGTACATACAGTATTTGCTAACAAGGGGCATGCTGACAGGAGAGAGCAGAGTGACTGAGATAGCTCATCAGTTGGATACTTCACCTTTTACTGTTTTATCACATGGAACAGACAAGACCTATAAGTTAAAACGTTCCTGCTCCCCACTGGTTAGAGAGCTCTGGCTCTGACTCAGTAGTGTGTAAAACCTGTGCAATCAAATCATTGCTTCCCCAAAGAGAGCAAGGGTCATTCTCTACAGCTTGCTGGGAATGGAGAGGCTTTTCTACTCAACATTTCACGTTTTGTTTTGATGCAACTGGAATGTATTTAGCCAATTTAAACTGCAAGTTCAGTTGAGTTTCAACTACAACAGAAAACAAATCTGGTCTTCTGATCTGCCAGACAGGGTTGTCTTGTGTGACAGGGCTGTCTAAATCTCAAGGCTGGCTGGATGGACAGAAATACAAACACTTTGGCAGGTTCAATGGCTCTCTTATATTTTATGTATTCAGTGGTTCACCTGGAGTTCAGCTTTTAAGAAACACAAAAGAATTACAGAAAGTTAGAGGTCTTGCAAATCAGCCAATTGTATCCACAAAATTAATATTCTAATGCACCAGCTGTCTACACACTTTGAATTGGATCATCATATGAACTGAACATGACCTGGTATGAAAATGGAACAGACTATCCCCAGACTGTGCTTCTGGGAACATTTCGAAAGCAATAAATATTTCCCAGCAGGCACTACCCCATTTATTGTTTCTGAATGATCACATGTCTATTAGGGGAAGGTTGAGCAAGGTTATCTCAATGTTGCACAGATAACAGATAACTGTTACAAGAGCCAAGTTCTGCCTGGATATCTAGTTATCATGATAGGAGATGTAATTGAATGACGGCTGCTCTAGCACACACAGACAGTTCACAGCTACTTACATTGTACCCAACATAAAATGGGCAATATGCCTATATTAGTCAATTGTTGCCATTACCATGGATGGCCAAATCTACTGTAGGCTGGATCTCCGATAGGTAAGATTAAGAAGAGTTGCATGACCTGTCCACTGATTGATTCTGTGTAGGCCAGAATAGTTGGCTGATTGACTTTGCTACCTAATTTCCTTTAGAGCTCATGATCTACTCTATGCTGTACAATGCCTTCTATTCTTCCTGTTTGTATTGTTGTTGTATTGATTTTGCAGTGTTGGCTTCCACCAATCTCTTTACTTCACTATATGTAAAAGAGCTCACAGTCTATTAAGGTAGCCATGCAAGGCTTGAGTTTTGTCCAATTTGAGCCATGGGTGGCCCTGTCAGCATTACCTGACTCAACAAACCAGTTGAAAAACTGCCGGCCAGATGCAGTCACTGTGCAGTTGTCTAAATACAATAGCTGGCAGGGTAAATTCGTCCATCCACGTTGTGGATGGGGAATCAACTGATTTCTCTCATTCAGCCTGCGGGCACGCTAAATGTGTATGCCTAGAATTAGAGTGAAACCGCTTACAACTATTGGGTTTAAGTGGGCTTCTTACCTGGCCAGTAAAAGCACCCGTAAACCAGCACTGGCAATTATTAAATACCAGTACATTATAAAAGCAGCTTCTTTGATTACGCAAATAAGCATTCATGCACCTATGCCCATCAGCTGCACCTCCATCACGCCTCTTGTGGGTGGATTATGCAAACACAACCTAATGTTTGGCCAACATGAGCACTCCTCTGGAGCAACTAAACAGCCATCACTGTGAGTGGGCCAAATAATTTCTGGCCATTCATGGAGACTTTATGTGGGTTTAGCACCTGTGAGTTGGGTCTGTATATATGCCTGAATATTTGGAACAGGATGTTGGGGACACCTTGTCACTGGAAGAGAGTTTTCCATATGTAACTTGGAAGATGGGAAGGCTAGCTTAATGGAGAATTTGGACACAGACAGATACGCTAGATCCTGAAATCAATAGTTGTGGTCACTGTGACTTGGTAACTACAACCACATCCTCCAGCTATACAAAAGGTCCTGGCAACGGCATATTCTCAATAGTCATGGATTCAGAAATGCAAATTGGCCAAATTCAGTGTGTTCTGAACTGTTTTCAATGTGTTCCATGTTCCTGACCAACAAACGGGAACAGAGTCATTATGGTATTGTGGATTGTTTAAAACATTTTTTTCAAAAGTTTTCATTATTTTTCATGTTCTAAATGTTTTAGGCTGCAAGGCCTAAATGGCAAATAGTCCCTACAGTAAAAAATATAACAAATAGAAAGCAATTACTATATGATCAAATTTGGGGAAATCCCTAATTTGTGATGTTTCAACCAAGATACAATGTGATTCATTTTTAATTATCAAAACACAAGTATTGCAACAGGCAAAGAAGGGTGACATTTTATTAATTGAAAATTAAATGTACAAAATGATGTGTAGTTGCTCCGGACATCAATACCAGACCCTTATCCTTGATAGGGGTCTGGTATGGTTTTTAAGGGCAGGCCCCAGGCAAAAAAAACCCACCAAAAAATGTTTTCCATCAGAGTCCCCACCCGCTTCGCATCAGGAGCTGCCTTCACATCAGAGTATTCAGTCCCCCCCTTCACATCAGAGTCGTCAGACCGTCCCCCACATCCTTCACATCAGAGTCGTCAGTCCTCCTCTTCACATCAGAGTCCTACTTTAAAACCATCACCACAATGCAGTTGCGGCAGCATGGCAGAGGGTGGGAGGTGGAGAAGGTCTGGACAGAGGCAGAATTCTGCCCTCTTCTGTATGCTTGGTGAGGTCCTGGATGCAGTCAACCCTGGAATAGTGTCATGCATGTCCATGGCCTGGTGGCTGCCTTGCTTGCACCATGGAAATGCATGACACTGTTTGAAAGGCACCCTTGACAAAGCCAATAGGCACCCTGGTTGAGAAAGGCCGTTCTAAAGCAACCTATGCGCCTGAAGCACAATGATCGGTGTTATGCAAATTGCAACTTCACCTGAGAAATGTTTCAATTTATCACATCAGCTACAAAATGAGATTCACTGTCACTGTTGGTGCTGGTGGCCATTGTCTCTGGTACAGGAACTAAATGAAAATCTAAAGTGTTTGAGTTGTCACAGAAACACTAGGTGAAGGGAAATCTTGCAATGGGAAAATCTGGCAACAATGGTCTAGAAGGGGATATCCCCTCACATTTGAGAGATCACCCTTACCACCTCCTGTGTCTGAAGGGAAATCTTCCCAATGTGACACAGGCAGAAAAAGCGCCCAACATGGGTTTTAACCATTCCATACATAAAAATGGCTTCATACGCACTTTAAGCCCAGTTGGCACTTTATTGTATACTTGTCAGAACAGGTACGTGTTGGGTGAACTTCGTGCAGAACAAATGCTTAGTATTTACATTTTTGACAAGCCGATCCCTGACTTTGATTATTTCTATGTTAATTATAATGTGTTTTCTAAATGACACGGTAACAGTTGTTTCATTATAAATGTCATCAGCATCCTAGCTGACGCTTGGCAGCTGGATTATAATTGGATGGTTTTTTTGTTGCCTGAGATCTTACATGTGACATCAAACGTGACATTAACATAGCTACAAGGACAAGCTGAATTTTCATTACAGCAGGTAAGGTGCAGATGAGAATTCTTACAGGTGGCTTAATAGGGTTATACTTTCATTCTCAGACCAGGAAAGGACTGAAGACTCGTGGAGTGGTTTCTTTGCTCCATGTTAAAATGTAATGGAACAATCTTTGTACAATCTCCTTTAGATTTACCAAAGGTATGTAATATGAGGACCTACCTAAGCTATCCAATCAGTTGCATCCAATCAGGCAGGTCCTTGTACTACAGCGCTAATTGTAGATCTAAAGATCGTACAGTGAGTTGTAAACTATGTGGTGAGCTGAAGATCCTCAGATCATCTCTGAATTGGTGCTTCCTTCTGGAGGGTGGCTACTTTTGTTCCCCATGGTCCCTGTGCGTGTTGTAAAATAAACACCACTCCAAGCTTGCTTCTGTGATGGACTTAGCCAACAGACGTAGTTTAAATGATCCGTAGTACATTATATGTAGCCCTGTAGCCCCTTTTCCACTTACAGAGCTAGGTTATTGTTTTTCTTTTAAATAAATATTCATGTAATTTTATTGGTATCTATCTTCATTTTGTACATTTACCAGTAGGTACCTCTGCTTTATATTCGGGACGGCTTATACTCGAGTATATACGGTAGTTAAGGTACTTGAATTAATTTTTAAGGTTTAACTCCTGGGTTTAGTGTCACTTTAAGAGTAACATCATGGTTCATACCCATAACAATCCTTAGAAAATCA